CACTTAGAGCATGACAGGCGCCCTAATTGAAGTTCTCGTTTAAATGTGCTCAAGTCCATTCATAAAATACCAAAACCAACAATTTTTATCATAAAAATTGAGTGAAGATACGTAAAAAGGTAACTTTTTTTGGGATATTTTTAATACACATTGCGCATAAATAAAGTCGTTTTACACAATATTATCGGCGAAAATTTTTCAATATTTGTCAGATGCAAGCGTTACCTGGTGAAAGATCTTTACGCAAGTTTTATAATGAAAATTGCTGATTTTTTGTATTTTTCTGAGTGAACATGAAAACACTCGAACAAGAATCACAATGAGGGCATTTTCAGAGATTCTTGTCTGTTGAGAAGGAGAGTGAAGAATAGCGTAAGATCACATTGTCATTATCGACTTTTCTGAGCCTTTTGCTAGAGTTTTCCTTCTCACTCAGCCTCATCTCATCGATCTCATGCTTTAATTACAATTGATGAAGAAAAATATTTATGAAACACATTCATCTTTTATATTTGAGAATATTCATTGTTAATCATAGATCGAGTGAAAATGTTGGTAATGCAGTATTTTTCTCTTTTGATAATGATTGTATAATAACAAAAATTGTTCCACTATCATATGCAATAACAATTTCACGTTCTTGACTTCTTATACGTAAGTTTTTAACTTCATCAGTTGGATCCATATTTAACGAGAAATCAACAGCCATTTCAATATATTCACGACAAAAATTATTCAAATCATTTCGAGCTATATTATTTAAACCATATAATGGAAATATATCATTTGTTTGCATATCAATTGCCATTGCTGATAAAACATCAGGCATTTTAATAATACGTTCCCAAATATCTTTTGGATCATCTTCTTTATCTTCAAATGTTTGTCGTGCTGTTATATATCTTTGATAACGACGACCAAGTTTTCGTTGTACAGCAGTCATGTTCGTTGTATTTATTTATAGTTTAAAGAGAAAACAAAAAATGGCGCTAAAGAATATTCATCAAACCGGATAATAAAAGAAAGTCTTATAAAGTTAAAAGAAAAATAAACTAGAAAAGTTACTGAGATAATTCAGATCTTTATACGTTCCGACTTTGTATGAATGAAACCGAGACGAAGGTATACATCGACACCAATACGTGATACTTGTTGTAATGTCAGAGAACCATCAAAGAATTGTGCATAAAGACGACAAATAGGAAGACCAATTCCATGACCATACATTCGTTTCGATCTAAAGAAGACTTTTACAATAACTGTTAAGGTTAACATTCAAAAAAGTTTCAAAGAAATATGGCTAAGGCAGCACTACAATGAATAGCCTTTGCTTTCCATAGAAAAAAAAATTCGAGAAGCAATAGGAACGTTTTCTTTTCACAAATTTTTCAAGCCTCCTGTATATATTGGAGTAAGGCTACTGAATCCAGCTTGCATATATTCAAAACAATTCTAGTTAATGTCGGAGGATTGATATATGTTTCATGATTTTGTTCATTGCTATCCTGTTGAGTGGACTTACCATCATATATATGTATCTGATATTTTCATGATTTTAGACTCTCATGTTTGAGAGTAAATAGTTTCCAAAGTTTATCGCTGAATTAATATCAATAGCGTGATTGTAAATCGGCTTCCATCCTTCTAAGATTTGCTATCTGATATTTGACTACTTTGAGTAAAAGAATTGAAGTTTGATTAACCAACATTTAATGGGTGATATCCAATGACTTATCTTCTTTAATGCTTGATAGCAATAATAGTGCACTTGATATTCAGTATTCGTCAATTGTTTTTGTTTTCTTTTTAAAAAATTTCAATTTAGTTCCTTTTAAATTAAAAATTAAAGGGTCTGAAAAAACCAATTTAGCTAGTGCATCACAATCAAAGAGAAAATCAAATAGCTGCTAAAATCAAACAGTTAAGTAAACAATCTGCAATACAGTACCTTCACAGAATTGTTTAAATTATTTTGAATAATTCTATTTTTTCAATAGAAAGCATTAAACTAATTTGAAGTTCTTAATATGTTGTCAGCTGAGTTAAAACTCAATCTTCCAAACTGCATGCTTTTGAGAAACACTGAATGGATGCAAAAGAAAGCTTTTGCTTCGGACTGCTCATTATCGAAGGAGAGTAGGTGGCAAAATGAACCTATTTAAAACTTTATTAGTTGCTCTAAAATGCTGAATTTGCACCCACATGACAAGAAGTGATGAATGTTTAAGAATGCAACGATGACAGTGATCACCAGTGCATTCGTCTTAGATAGAGTGCTGCAGTAGTTTAAACATGTACATGTAGACTAACGACGAAGACGGTGAATGTCTGTTAAAACTATGGTGGCCTTAGATTCATTTCAATTTTTTCAGTTGGGAGAAGTCTATCTCAACAAAATAGCTGAAATTTGTAAACCATGAATAAAACATGAGAACTAAATCTTTCTCGAACGAAAAAATCCAATTTGAGAATTTTGCCAAACTTCCTATACGTTCAGATTCCTAGACTAGATATGAGTAAGATTGTCTTGGTTTCGTCAGCATCAAGATTAACTCATTTTTATTGAGACTGATATCTTTTATGGTCATATAAGACTTGCGTCAAATGTCATATTTTCATGACTTATATGTTCGAAAAGCTTACGCAAAAATTATTGAGCAATGATCACTTCAATGTTTTCTTAAAATTTAGACAGCAAACTGTATTCTTCTCCTTGTAAACAAAAGTATTGTCGAACACATAAACATACAAGATATATGAAGTATTAGTGAACTAAAAAGAGGAATGAGTCCTCAAGAGAACGGATATTAAAGATCATGCGAATCGCGCAAGATTTTTCGAACACAGTGATATCACTAGAAAATGGCATCGAAGTTTTCACTAGTACATGTATTACTAAGTGCAATTCCAGAACCAAAAATTCTTTTGTGACCGGGACCAAAAAAAAAGATGGGTCCTATTCATCACTATTGTAGACTTTGAAAACCTGTCAACATAGTTTTATTATGCGCTCACTGTCAGTTTATGCGTACATATTTAGACGAGTGTAAAGCTGTATGCAAGACTGATGTACCCTCAGTGTAATGCACCATCGCCCTTGCTTTTCTAGGAAGTTTCCTTGAAAATGAGCATTTTAAAAATTTGTTCCTTTCTTATTTTCAAAAATTCTCTACTTACGATTCTATGATACGTTCTTGAAAATCAGCTATGACATCTGTTTCTTCATCTGCTTTTTCGTTTTTTATATCACCTTAATCAAAAACGAAAAATACACAATAAAAGAACTCAACTAAAATAAATATCTTATTTGTGCATTTTATTTACCAGTAAACATATATCGAAATAATTTTTCATCTGATTCATCAATTCCACCACCTTGATCTTGAATTGCAATAGTAAAATGTTCATCATCAGGATCTGATGTTATTAAAACTTTACATAATGCATCTTGTCGATTTTCATTAAAAAATCTTTTTACATGTTGCATATTACCTAATAAGACTTTATTATTTTCAACAATGGCACGCATAGAATTTTTTAATAATTCACGTAAAATATATTGAATAACACAAGGAAAATAAGGTAAAGAATTATGCATAGTGTTTTCTATTTGAACATATGGTACAACACTATATGTTTCAAAACACAGTGATGCAACATCATCAATACATTGTTGAACAGCTTTAGCTGGTGAAAAATTCATACAAATAGCACCACACCAATTATTATCTAATGTTGTTTTCTTTTGTTGCTTATGTAATTCAAGATAATGTTCAGAAATTAAACGCATTGATAAACGATTTTGTAAAACATTATCAAGAAATTCTTTCATAATTCTATATGATTTAAAATATTTTTGTGCTTCTCTACAACCAATTGATAATTGTCCAATAATATCATTATTTTGTAACGTAAACATATGAATTAAATTAAAAAGTTTTTCTTCATCTTCATTGGTTTTTATTATTGGAAAATTTGCTAATGTTTCAAATAGTTTTAAATAACGTTCATGTAATGATAATAATGTTGGATTAGCAGCTGGTAAAAATGGTAATGATTGAAAATGGCCTATGCAATGTGCTATACGTACTAATAACTGATTACGAAGATCTGATGCAATTTTTATTAGATTAATTGGTGTTGAATTATTTGATGTACCTGCTTCTATCATATGATATCCGTAACAATATTCAATAGGACGTTGAGAATATTCAATAAGTTCATCATGAGAAGAATATTTTGAGAATTGCTTAACAACTTCAGAAAGAGCACGTGCATGAAATTTTATACAACTTGATTTAGCTGCTGTTAATAAATATTGGTAAAGAGACATGATCAACAAATTTGAATATCCAAAAGTAGAAAAACAAACAAAGATATGGAAAAAAAATTATTCTTATGTATAAAGTAAATGAAAAAAAAATGAATTTATTTTTCTACACTATCTATTTTTATAAATCTATTGCCTTCATCATATTCATTCGTTCAAACATATATGATATTATAAGGAATAAATATTTCTTTATATGCAGACACGAAATTTCTTTTTGTTTTTGTGTTTGTTTTTAATCCGAAGAAAAAAAGAAACAAAGATTTGAATTTGATTTGACAATGATGTTTTCGCCACATACATGGAAAAAAAACACAGTAGTGAATATTGAAAGCACATCAAAAAAAAAGAAAAGAAAAGAAAAAAACACGATTTTAATAACATTTATACATACATCCATGAATGCATGCTAAAAAATAGCAAATGAAAACAAAAAACAAAAAAAAAAAACAAGAAATTACCAAAGAAGATCTCTAAGCCTAATTATTTAAATATCCCTGAAGAACAACAAATATAATAATGCACAAGACGCAAAAAAGAAAACAAGGATGAGATCATCTGACCAAAAGAAAAGTAAACAACAAGAAATGATTGCAGTATAAAGCAATAATAAATGACTTAGAAATACATATACAAAAAATGTCATTCATACAAATAAGAAAAAGCATATTTATAATTTGTCGAGAATTATTTTAATATCTTGTAAAATTCTTGTCATTTGTGAAAAGATATTTGTTTCATCACGATTATCATCATTATCAAATAATGGTTTTGATATATCTTTTATATTTTGTATATGTTCACGTAATTTAAATGCTATTTGTGGTGAAATAATTTTTGATAATTCTAAACAACGATCACCAAATAAATTTAAATCGTTAACTAATGTTATTGTTGTTGGCATTGTTGATAAATTTTTACAATTAATTATATCATTATCATCAATTGTTATTGTTGAATTTGACATTATTAATTTACTTTGACGATTTTTTTGTACTTGTCGAATATATTTGATTAACAATTGAACTGTTTCAAGTAAAGATCGTACTGTATCTGTTAATTGTTCATTATCTGTTGTTGCTGTTGTTGTTGTTGCTGTTGATGATGATGATGTATTTAATTTTGTATCTTGACAACGACTTGATGCATATTCAGAAAACAAACGTATTGCCATACCAACTGATGATGGAACTGATTCAGTTGTTGATTCAGATTCATTTGAATTTTTTGAATTTGGTATATTACCTGTTTGTCGAAGATGTATACGGCAAAACTCAGGTGTTGTTGTTGAAGAATTTGAAGATGAATTTTGATGTTCAGGAGTTTTAGATTCTGTTAAATTTGTACTTGATGATGATATAACACTATCAATTGATGCATTCGATTTTGCTCTAAAAGAAAAAAGAAACAATTCAATAACAATTTTAAGACTTTCTGTATAGGCATACAAATCGGAATTTTTTCAATGCTTTATTTTTCATGGATATATATATATACTTCGAAGTGTCTTCTATTGAGCTGCAAAACAACAAACTTTTTTTGATCCCGAAAGAAACAATTTTCGAGAACACATTCTCCTTCAAAAAAAACCTGGTTTTGGACCTTTTTTTCGAAATATTTCCTCTTTGCTTTTCATCTATTAGTAGCTATCTTATTTTTAGCAGATTTTTATGTTAGTGTCCTAAGACATCGTTCAACTACAATTTGAGAGACGATTAATATGATAAAATTTCAACTTCTGACTTATTGTTAGTAGAGTTGGTTAATTTTTCTGTGCAAGTTTATCACTAATCACTTGTTGAGAAATACAGTCCGTCGAGTTGGTTTCGGATCCGATGGGATCTATTGAGAAGTCAATAGCGTCAGGATGGTTTATTTTTTAGTTTTTAATTTTTTCGTTAACCATGGTTTCTTCTATTAGTAATAAAAGTAACGTATAGTCAACAAGAACTATATTATTCATACGTCTCTGATTGGGGCCATCTCACAGGCATTAAAAAAAAACACGATCTCTGAATGTAGAAAACTATCTGATCAATTGTACACTAGTCGAAAATCTACAAAAACCTTAAATAGAAAGGAACAAAGGTATTTTGAAGAAAATTGATATTCAATTTTATTCTACATCAATCTGGAACTTTTTTTCCATATACACCAATCACTATTTAATGTAGGTATTGTTCTCTATTTTAGAAACCAGTATTCTAATGATTTTTTAACAGGCTTCACAGACTTAGTCTGAGTAAAAAAACAATAAGCATCCCCTAAGATGCGTTCAGTGTTGTAGCTTTTTTATAGAAATGATAAATAGAATAAGGGCAACAAAAGAAACATCCATCCTAATCAATGCATAATACATGTAAAAGAATTTTGAACTCAATCGATCATGGTATCCCGGAGAAATGAGGAGGCATTGTGTGCCCAATATCTCATAGAAAGCAGAATTCAGAGACTTCGAGTCTAGCACAAATTTTGTTCTTAGAGTTTCACATTCTTCTGATAAGTCGTTTTCCAGAAATCTCGGAGAGTGGAGGGATACCATTGAAGGAAAAACTAGATAAAAATTAAATTACTTTGAAGATTTTTTATTTGATTTTATTTTTATTGATCCATCTCGATTAGGTTTTAATGGCGGTGTTGGACGTTGAACACTATCACAAAGGACATTATTTAATGGTTCAATACCATTTGTTGTTGTTGAATGATTATGTCCAACAAATGTTGTTGTTGAAAATGAATTAGGAAGTGCTGTTGTTATTGGTAATGGTGTTTGTTTTTTACTAAATGTTGATAAACGTGCTTCAGGATTAGGATTTCGTGGTCGATCACGTAATGGTTGTTGTTGTTGAATAATTGTCGGTAATGTTTGTTCATTTGGATCTTCAGTAATAGTAGATGGTTGTTGCTGTTGATCAGTAGATAATTTTGGACGTGGTGATGAAAGAAAACGTGCTAAAATGGATTGATGTGCTGTTGCAGGTGGAGGTGGTGGTGGAGATGTAACACTAGAAAATGAACATGTTCGAGCTGGTGGTCGAGGAGGTGGAAGTGATGGACCAGTTCGAGCACGATTGGAATTCGAACAAAACTCATTTGAAGATATAATTTTTGTTGTACCTTAAATGAAAATATTTCTTTTGAATACTTCAATAATTTAATAAAACTAAATACCATTTTCTTGAGTATTGAATCCAACTGTAGTCATACTTTCAAGTTCAGTATGAATTTCTTTAAATGTTGGTCTTTCATCAGGAGTCCATCGCCAACCTAAAAAAAATTATAAAATAAATTTTCTTTTTACAATGTTTTATTTATAATAATATACATTTTTGCATTAGATTATATACATCAGTTGGACAACCAGGTGGACGCTCCATTCGATTTCCAGCCTTTTGAAATAAAAAATAATTAATTTATTCAAATGATATTCGTTGTACTTACTCGAAGGTGATCAAATACTTGACAAAGCTCTATCTTTGGATATGGACTAGCACCATATGTAGCAATTTCCCAGAGAAGAATTGAAAAACTAAAATATAAATCATAGTATATAATATTTGGTGCAACTATATCACCCATTTATGTAAAAAGTTCTCTATGTCGACGTTATGCCTACTGCAGTGGTTTAAGGATCTAGTTACAAGAGAATCTCCTCAGATGTTCTCTTTTGATTTGTATAATTCTTGTCTATCTGTTCTACATAATATTTTAATAAAAGACTAAACTGTCAAGTTTTTTCTTGAGGTCCTGGTTTTCGGAAAAATTATATTTTAGAAATTCAATCTGAAACTTTGCTCAGATGACGAACTCAGTTTGACTAGCTTCCATAAAAAAATTCAGAAATTTTGAACAAAGTCTTTTCAAGATATAAACCTCCAACATCCTGAAAGCCTCCTATCTTGAAGATATTCTGTTCAAAACTTTTGAATTTTTATTGAAAGCTAATCAAGCTAAATTCTCTATATGAACAAAGTTTCAGATCGAAATTCGAAAATCTCAAAAGATTTCCTAGTATGCTGTAGAGAGTGTGAGTTCTAGTCTTCTGTTCACCTCTACTTGCATTCACTCAAAAGACATCACTTTTTTCAATATTTTCTTTTCCGTCTTTCTGCGGCTAAACGGTTCCTTTGTTAGTAGACAGCTTATATTGTTGGTCCGAAACGAAAATGAATAGAATATTATTTCATTCTATAACTTACCTCCATACATCAGATTTTGTTGAAAATTGATTTCGTTCTAACCCTTCAGGTGCTTGAAAGATAAAAGAAATAAAAGTTTACAAAAAGTAATATTGTTTATTCTTCTTACCTGTCCATTTAATTGGAAATTTAGCACCATGTTTAGCTGTATAATGATCTTCACATTTAACAAGACGAGCTAAACCAAAATCACCAACTTTAACAACATGATTATCTCCAACAAGACAATTTCGTGCCGCTAAATCTCTATGAATAAAATTTTTTGCTTCTAAATAAGTCATTGCTGAAGCAACTTGTCCAGCCATATACATTAATACAGTTGATGTTAATTCAGTACGTGGTCGTCGTTTTAAATAATCAAGTAAACAACCATGTGCCATAAATTCAGTTATAATATAATAAGGTGGCTCAAGTGTACATATACCAAGTAATTGTACAAGATTTGGATGTTTTAAATCTTTCATAACATCAGCTTCTTCTAAGAAATCTTGTAAACTCATTGTTTCTTTTAATGTTTTAACAGCAACAACTTTATTATAACGTTTCCATAATGCTTCATAAACTTCACCATATTGTCCACCGCCTAATTTTTGTTTCATAGCTATTTCTGATCGTGGAATTTCCCATTTATCATCTATTTTAAATAATGCTGGTTGAATTTTATGTTTATTTATTGGATAAAGTAATAGATGAACAAGACCATCAGTTGTTATTGAATGATGATGAATTAATTGTTGTAATGTTGAAAAACGTAATTCAGTTGAAACATAATATTGACCGTTTTCATCTGTATTTATACGATAATGATATATGCGACCATCATATCGAAGACTAATAGATAATTGACCTGGAACAGTTTCACTATCACGTACAAGAAAACCTTAAATAAAAATTTTAAATAATTAAAAAGTATGTTCTTATTGGTTTTCTTAATTATAACAACTATATAATTTAGAAAGATGACAAAAAATGTCAGTTTGTTCGTAGAAGCCTAGCATCAAGTTTGCACATCAAATGAAATATAGCGAATAACGTCAAATTTTAGTCAACATCATAAAAGTTACTACTTGCAGAATTGTTCAAAGCCTTTTAGGAGTCTTAGCGTAGCTTCATGGGTAACCCTATGATTTCACATTGGCATGTAGATTTAATCAAATTAGAGCTTCAGCAATAATTGTAACTTTGTAGGGTTCTATATAATTTTATGGGTTTCTGTTTGATTTCACAGGTCATTTGCATAAGGAGAGTCTATGAATATTCATCAGTGTCAACTCCTTCTTTTCCATTTGATATATATATATATACAGCGATATTATATAATGATGCTGTGCTGTGATATTAGAAGCCTAAGAAAAGTAGAGCATACTCGATGACCTAAGAAAGCGAGAAGATTTTAAAAATTATCATCTACATAAACGCTTATGAAGAAACGTTTCTAAGTGTCAAATCATTTTTGAGTTGAAACTATGTACATCATCATCTAGACTTGAACAAACTAATATCTTACTACTACCGACGTTCTTCTCAGAAATACTAGGAAAATAGATTATCAAATTTTAAATTGAAACTTATCATAGGGACAAACTTCTATGAGATTATCTTATTGTAAAAGTTTCAGATTTTTCAATTGCATCTATTCTGAAATAAGAACATTGGAATTTAGTGTTTATACATGAGCAACGTGAAAAATATGTTTTTACTGTAGCTGTATCTTTGAATAGAAGAAATCAAAGGATCTGAAACTTGCACAATAAAATACTCTCAATAAGATCTCGCTATGCAAAATTTCAAGTCAAACTTTGAAACTCGGTTTTTATTGGTGTTCCTGAAAAGGACCGTTCAGCAGTAGTAAATTATTAGCCTGAACTCTTTTCAATGTATTCATAGCTCCTTAGAACCTATAGGATGCATATCGTCACGACTCAAAAGCGATTTAATGCTTAAAAGCATTACCTCATTCGCCTGTAACCAGAGGATTAATAGAGGCGAATTTTATCTTTACTTTCTAGTCTTATAAAGCATTCACACATGAAGATATTTAAAAAATACTAGATAAATGTATAATACTAGAGAGTTATTTGTTATTCAAATTTTTTTTCTTTGATGTCTAACATCAAAATAAAAATATTCGATTTTACATGTCAGTAGTCTCTGATATTCTTTAAGATAATCGTTATTCAATTTTACTTTATTCAATCGAAGTCTTCTGTTTTAATTTTTCATAGATGATTTCTCTCATAAAATCTGATCAACTTTAGCAAAAACAATCTTCTGTTCGACCTCGATACATCTGTTTAATTTCGTATTTTAATATTTCTATACCTCAATCGATAACTTACTTCCATTAATTCCTTGTGTTAATAAATATTCAGCTTCACATCTCGATACTTTTCCATGAAACCATGAATGTCTATCTAATGATGATAATGGTTTAATAAATACTTGTGGTACCCAACCAATTTGACCTTGAGTATTGCGTACTTCAACCCAATCATGATTTCTATCATGATAATTAACAATAGTTAAATGTTCTCCAACAGCTAGTGATAATTGTTTATCATCACTTGCATTAAATGGTAAACAAGCTATATAGATTCCATCATTCGTTGAATTTGTACGATGATGATGTAATGGACAATTTGTTGACGTTATGCTATTATTATTATTATTATTATTTCCAACGAATGATGTTGATATTGTGTCAGTTTGTGTTAATAACAATTCACGTGATAACCAACGTTTATCAGCTGTTAAACAATCGAAATTTCCATTATTATTTTGTTGAGATTGAATATGTGCAAGTGTATTACATGGTGTTGAACGAAATGAACCTGAAAATAATTTTAATTTAGTATTACTAGAAGATTTTTTTCGTGACATCTGTCGAAATAAAAATGAATCAAAATAAAAATATTCTTTGTTTTTCTCTTATTCTCTTTTCTCTCTGTCTCTCTCATGTTGGAATGTGAAATACGAAATTATTATTCTGATAAACAAAATATAAAATATCGAAATGTGTATAAATTACCTTGACTATGAATAGATATATCATCAACATTGGTATGTGTTGTTGCAAGCGATGATGTCGATATTAATGGAGATTCTGTATGTGAACCGGATAAATTAAGAAATGGTTTTGATAATGAACGACGACTTTTTAAATTGGGCGATGCACGTGTACTTGAATCTTTTATACTTTGATTGCCCATTTGAATAAAAATAGTTGTTCAACATTGGATTTAATACACATAAAAAATATCCATATGAGTTAAGTCAAAAAAAATTGATAAGAGAGATCCCTCTGTCAAGATAAATAAACAAAAATAAGCAATGGCGATCGCGGATTGAGTGTGTTCAGCTAATTGTCTGTTTTTCTTTCGGCCTCTCTCCCTTGGACAATCAGCTTTTTCGAGAGTGTCCGCAAGCAAAAGAATATGATTCACATGCTCTTGTCACAGGTATCCAATAGTCGAATCAAACTATTTATTGACTAGATGTCACTGTACAACAATACTACATTGGAAGAAAAAGATTTTAGTTTGTTATAAGTTCATTTCAATATGCTTAATAATTTTATGTTAATCATTTCTTTTATTGTTAATCTATTGATAGATCAATTGTAAGAATGTCTTCTGTTTTCAGATTATGTTCGCAAACATAGAAAAATAGGTCAATCCCTACAAACTATGTAGTTATTGATAACAATTAATCTTATCTTATTTTATAAACACAACATATTTCAGGCATTTCATAAACTTGTTGAATGAGCTAAATATGTTGATAAACTCTATCAAACGATTTATCATTCAACCAGCTTCAACTTGGACTGTTTTTCAATTCAACAAACGAAATTCATCTACAAAATCGTCATCAACTAAACTCCGTTCAAGTTATTATCATCATGCATCAACAGTTCCATTTATTTAAAAAACATTAGGTCAAAATTTTGATGAAACAGTAAATAAATATCCTAGCAATGAATGCTATGTCTTTAAAAGTATGTTTCATTATTCAAATTTTATTTTTTCAAAATTTGATTTGTTTTTATGAATTTTGTTCATGTGAACAAAAACGATATACATTTAAATCATTCAAAGATGAAGTTGATAGTTTAGCTGCTTCACTTCTTAAATTAAGTTGTAAAAAAACTGGTCGATTTGCTGTTTGGTTACCAGATACATCAGAAAATGTTTGTTCCATCAAAATTAGGTCTTATCAAAGTAAAGTATTCCATTGCTTTATTGTATAAATAAAGTTGAGTGCAAAAGCATACATCTTCCACCATCTATCAAATCAATTGATTCATTGTCAATATTTCGTCATCTTGCATCCCGACTTGACCAACAATCATTAACTAAAGAATTATCATTAAAAAAAACTACAAACATTAAAATATATTATTCTTACTGGTAAACAATTATCAACATCCTTAACAATCCATTCACATAAATATTTATTAGAACATGCTGCTAAAATATATCATAATAAATTACATGAACGACAAGCATCTGTTAATCTTGATTCATTTATTGCAATATTTTATACATCAAGTACAATAGGACATCTAAAAACAACAACACTAACAAGCTTGGGTATGGTTAATATGTCGAAATGTGTAACTGACCACTTTGGAAAATGTTTTACTTGTCTTTCTGCTCTTATTCCAATGTTTCATATTTTTTCTGAAGTTGTAGGCATCTTTAGTGTTGCAACATCGAAATGTCAAGTAGTTTTTCCAACTATTTTATCTCATCCCATAGCAACATGAAGAAAAATGTACAGCTATGATAGGTGCTCCAATTATTTTTCGTCATATATTAGATCATCCAGATCGAAAAAAATATGATTTAAGTTCATTAGTTTATTACGGATTAGTTGCTAGTCCAATGAATATAGACTTTTTACGACGATTAGAAAAAGAAATTCCTATTAAATGTATCGGACAACTTTTTGAACTGACAGAAAATGTTGCAATTCTTACGAGTAGTATATAGACTGGTGATAATAATTAAACACGTCGTTCGTCTGAACAGGATTCCCGATTGTTTTTGGGAGTGGGAGGGAGGCTAAAAATTTGGCAGAAAGTCTATAAGTTTTTCACAGAAAGACGACTTTCTACGAGGAATTTGGCAAACATAGAATCGACTATCTGCTAGAAATTTGGCAGAAATAGCATCGACTTTCTGCAAGAAATTTCACAGAAAGCATCTTTGATTTAACTTTATTCCAGCAAATGCAGGAGCTTTCTGCTGAACTGAATTTTAAAAATTTCGCAGGAAGTATTATTAAAAATTATGCTAGAAAGTCTGAAATTTTGGGAAGGAAAGCCCCTTCCTGTCTCCTCCCCCTAATCGGAGACCCTGCTTCTGTATTAGGATGATGTATGCCACGTTTAGAAATAAAAGAAGTTGATTGAGAAGGAAATTCAGTACCTATTGGACAACAAGGTGAAATATGGGCATGAGATTTTCCTATCATGATTGAATATTATGGTGATCAGCAGAAAACAAATGAAGCGATAACATAATCAGGCTGGCTTTGAACAGGTGATGAAAGTCGAATAGAGGACGAGGGTTATCTTTATAATAATGAACGTCAAAAAGAACTAATCATTTGTGGTGGTATGAATATTTATCAAATTGAAATTGAAAGTGCAAATAGTGAACGTCTAAGTGTTGCTGAATCCTAAGTTTTTTCTTTTCCAGATACGTGTCATGATGATGAAGTATGTGCATGAATTAAATTAAAACTTAATACAACAATATCTCAAACCTGAAGATATTGTCAAATTTCTGTCTGATAAAATAGCTTTTTTTAAAAATTCCTAAGTATATTCGTATTGTTGATAAATTCATAGTAACACTAACAGGAAAAGTACAAAAATTCAAGATGTCTGCAATGATAATTAATGAATTAAATAACAACAAATAGTGAATCATAGGTTTTAATCTCTCTCTCTCTCTCTTTTTTGTACACTACGTTAGTTTTATCCTAATAAAAATTTTATCAATTGATATTAGCTTCAATCATAAACGAAAATATTTGAATTTTTTCCACAGGGGCAGCATACTCCGAATAAAAAGAAAGAAAGACATAAATATTCTTTGTTTCTGTTTTTTAAAAAATCAATCAAACAAACAAAGAAACACACACACATAAAGATTGTTATGCGCGTCAACAATAACGTCGTGTCTATCTCAGTTCTCACTGATTATACACTCGGGGAGAAGAAAAGATAGAAGAATCATTTACATTGAACCAAAAGAAACAAAAAAAAAAGAAGCAGAAGAAAAGAAAATATATCGCTATAGAATATTATCGTTTGGTCGAACAAACGGTGAAGGTGTAGGAAGAATTGAAACACCTATTTTACTACTTGTTACACTGTTTCGTAGTAAACGTGGATCACGCGAAGAATTTGTGTCATTAGTGAATGTTTGTTGTTGTTGTTGTTGTTGAGTTCGTAATGGTGCTGAGTAATTATTTAATGATGGTAATGGCGTTTTAAAACGTTCTAATCTTGCTTGTTCAGACCATAGAGACATTTTTTCTTGATATTTTCCAATACGTGGATCTGTTGATTTATCAGGTAATGGATATGGTTTAAACGAAACTATTACTGGCCGTAAAATATAAACTGATGATTGCCTGGATGAACTACGGATTTCAAGTGAATCATGAGAATTATCACTACGAAAAATAAAAAATATAAATATAAATTGTAGGACAACAAAATTTTTTTCAACATACATTGATTGTGTTTGTCGTGGTTGTTTAAGTTGTTCAAGCATAGATATAAAATCAAATGATGGTCCAACAGTAGAATTTGTTGATGATGAATTTGATAATTGATCAACAGTTGTTGATTTTGTTGGACGAAATATATCTTGAATTGTTTTAGTTTTTAAAGGGTCATCATTTATTATCATTGTTGGTGATAATGATGATGTTGGTGAATTAATGTTAGTTGATGTTTGTAAATGACCAAGATTTGTTGTTGGACGATTATAAACATCAGATGGTCGTTCATCAATATCTCCACGCATTGTTGTTGATGATTGACGATCACGTTCATCGATATCACGACCTAATTGAGGAGTTGATGATGGGGAATGATGATGTGGTGTTGTAGTAAAGTTTTTTGCTACAGCAGCATTAACTGCGGCTAATGCAGCAGCTCGCGCTAAATAGTTACAAGAGAAAAATTTTGAAAATCAAAAGTTTATTTTCTTTTTTTTTATTTTACCTAATAATTTCATATCGATTAATGAACTCGGTGGTGGTGGTAATGGTAAACCATTATTTGTTGGAAATAAAATTGGTACACGTCCTGTACCAAGTGTATTGATTGGAAATAAATTAGGTGGTGGTGGTGGTAAAATTGATGATGGTGGCCGAGTTAAATTTGGTGGAGGTAAACAACCAAATGGTGATTGTAAATTTATATTAGGATTTGACATTGCTGCTGGTGGTAAAGGTAATGGACAAGTTGAATTTGTTGTTGTTGTTGGCATAGAAGAAGTACTAGTATTAGCAGTCGAAACTGTTGTTGTTGACATATTATCAATCGTTGATGTTGTATTTTGCATCGATGATGACGATGAAGGACTAGCACTGTTCGTTGAAGAAACAATTTTATTTGTTATTGATTCTTCATTATCAGTTTTATCAGTTGAAAGTGTATCCGTAAATAGACTAGGTCTAATTTAAAAAGAAAAAAAAAAGAAATAATTAGAAAATCTGTTAGCAAAATGCTTGCGAGATTAAAATATAAAGCAGGATGTAAATGTTGTTGGTAATTACACCGAGATTATTTTATGCTATCTATTTTGAGATACTTTTCTTCATCAGCCTTTTACTTAATCCTCCAGCAATACATGAAAGAATTAGCTCAAATATCATAACGAGATATTATTAATATATGATCTATAACTGGTGTCTGTCATGGTCTGCAGAAAATTCAAATCTTTATCTCTATACTTCAATAATCCTTTTAGATCGTATGTCACAAAATAAGAAAAAAATCATATTCGAACCGTTGAACAGGTGGACTTGATTGTGAAACATTAGTTGTTGTTTCTGTATTGGATGTATTTGTTGAATCAATTGATGTTGGAGTTGGTAATGGACCATTTCGTAAAAGTAAATCCATTAAATTAGGTATCATAGAAAAATTTGATGGATCAGCTATTGAACCAGGAACCGGTGG